TATTTTCCCTTGATTCCCTCTTAAATTTTCTTCAAAAAGCTCTAAAATCGCTCAGCAATGGTGAAATATGGCCAAAAATCGCGAAAGGGGATCTTTTAAACATTCTGCCCAGTTTTTAAAATTCCTTCACTGCGATTGCGAAAAATGCCTCGCGATCTTGAAGCACAAAAAGCCAACTTCCCTCATTTAACCTTACGCGATTGCAACAAACCCCACGCGATCACGAAGCAATACCTCACAGACCCACGCGATCGCAACCAACACCACGCGATCGCGAAGCTACACCACACAGACCCATGCAATCGCAACTCGCCTCACGCGATCGCGCAGGGAAACTCTGCCTCAGCCGCTAAACAAGCCTACGCAATCGTGGCCCTTTATAGCGATTGCGATGAACAAAAACGTCTGCAACAGACATGAAGATATCTACAACTCCTCAACATGCAATTCGATCCGTTTAACCACCCGAGGCCCTCGGGACCTCAACCAAACATGCCAACATATCCCATAATATCATTAAAACTTGTTCCAACCCTCGGGACACTCAAAACAACATCAAAACACCAAATTTGTATCGGATTCAAGCCTAAGAATTCCAAAAACTTCCAAATTTCGCTTTCGATCAAAAAGTCTATCAAACCTCGTCCGAATGGCCTGAAATTTTGCACACACGTCACAAATGACACAGCGGACCTGCTCTAACTTCCGGAATTCCATTCCGACCCCTATATCAAAATCTCACCTATCAACCAAAAAACGCCAAAATTTCAATTTCGCCAATTCAAGCCTAAATCTACGCCGTACCTCCAAAACATATTCCGATCACGCACCTAAGTCCCAAATCACCTCCCAAAGCTATTCGAACCATCGTAATTCCTATTCGAGACCTTTTTCATATAAGTCAATATCTGGTTAACTTTTCCAACTTAAGCTTACTCAAATGAGACTAAGTGTCTCAAACCTTACCAAAACCTCTCCGAACCCAAGCCATCCAACCCGATAACACATAATACAGATGAACAAGGAAATAAGAAGCAGAAATGGGGGAAACGGAGCGGTAACTCATGAAACGACCGAACGGGTCGTTGCACAAAGAGAATTTACAGATATAACAATATGATGAAAGGCCCTACTGTGAATATTTTTTAGGAAGGAAACTTGAAAAATAAAACTCACGATAGTATATATGCTCTTTGTTAATAGTTGGGGAGAAACACTTCAGATTTTCCATTTTTTCTAAATTCTAATATCTTGTCTGTATTTTTAAATGGTTGTAATGGACATTTTCCTCATGAGGGTTGACTTATTATTGACCAATTGAAGGTTAAATTATGTTTTTACTTAACAGTAGGAAATTAGGAATGGCAACATGTAGCCACTTGTGATGGCACTGTTTAAAATTTTAGTCAGTGTTGGCAAACTTAAGATAAGCGATGTTGCTCATCCTCTGCTTCTTGGTGAATTTTAAATAGAAAAATCAGACATTAATAATAAAAATTGACCCTTATTGATCAAATAGATATAGTAAGAAACTTATAAGCATACTAAAGAATGTCTTCACTGGAATTATTGTACCATATTCTACTATTGTACTAAGTTTAAGAACAACATAAACACAAAAAAGTTGATATGTTTATTGAATCAAAGCAACCTTTAAATATAAGAGTGGAAAACTAATTCCCTAAACTAACTCCTCTGGAAGAGGAAGACTAAACTTTTTGCTAAATAAACTCCTTAAATAAGAATATTTATTTGAGAAAATAAATGAATAACAAACTCCTAACTACTAGCTAAAGAGTTGGTCAAAATAGTAAAGTAGCTGGTGGTTAACTTATGTCTAATACGCCCCCCTCAAGTTAGGCAGTGTGTCACTACACCTATCTTGAATTAGTGTTTGTCAAAGGCTGGCTTTGGTAGCGCTTTGGTGAGGGTATCCGCGAGCTGATCTCCAGTATGAATATGAACAATGCAAACTTGATTATGTTAGACTTTCTTGCGAACAAAGTGAAAGCCTGCCGCAATGTGTTTCATGTGGCTATGGAAGACTGGATTTTCGCACAAATAAGTTGCACCAACATTGTCATAGTAAATGGTTGGTGCTTGTGGAAGTGAAACATGTAGTTCATTTAGCAGATTCATCACCCAATTTGTTTTAGTAAGTGCACTTGCAACTGCTCGATACTCTGCTTCAGTCGATGAGCGAGCAACTATTCTTTGTTTCTTGGATGACCAGCTCACAGGATTTTGGCCAAAAAACAGTATGTAACCAGTAGTGGGGGATCGATCACTCGCATCTCCAGCCCAATCTGTATCAGAATACATGTGTAACTTGAAATCATTATCTCTTTGAATGCGAAGACCAAACTGAATTGTTCCTTGAAGATACCTGAGTACTCGTTTGAGTGCTTTCCAGTGTACTTCAGATGGGGAGTGCAAAAATGGAGACAATTTGTTCAGAGAGAAACTTATGTCTAGACGAGTGAACGGCAAGTACTGTAGTTTTCCAAGAACTCTTTTGTACCGAGTGGCATCAGTTAGTTCCGCTCCATCATTTTGTTGAAGCACTTCACTGGAACTCATTGGAGTTTTTGCGAAATTGCAGTCTTTCATATTTTCTTCAGAGAGGATTTTACTGATGTAATTGGATTGTGATAGAGTGATCACATCTGCAATACGAAGCACCTCAAGTCCGAAAAAAATTAAGGTTTCTGAGATCCTTAATGGAAAAACGGCTAGCAATACAATATATAGCCTAATTTACACATGAGCTATGGCTCCCGGTAATGATGATATCATCGACATAAACCAACACATACAACACGTTGTTCGACACTTTGCGAATGAAAAGTGATACATCAGATTTGGACTTGACAAATCCCAAATAAAGAAAGAGCGTCTTAAGTTCATTGTAACAGGACCGAGGGGCTTGCTTGAGTCCATATATCGATTTCTTTAGGCGACATATATGTGAGGGAAACTGCTCGTCTTCAAAACCTGGAGGTTGGACCATGTAGACTTCTTCGTCTAGGTGACCCTGCAAGAACGCGTTGTTGACATCAAGTTGATGTATGGGCCAATTCTGCTGGACAACAATCGAAAGCACCAAGCGCACAGTAGTCGGTTTGACAACCGGATTAAATGTAGCATGAAAGTCAATTCCAGGGAGTTGTGTAAACCCCTTTGCAACAAGACGAGCCTTGTAGTGATCGATTGTCCCATTAACTTTTCTCTTTAACTTGTATAACCACTTGCAAGAAACAATATTTTTTGTGGGATCATGTGGTACCAATTCCCATGTTTGATTATTCAATAATGTATCAAATTCACTTTTTATTGCTCTCTGCCACTCTGGGTTTTTGTTAGCTTGTTTAAAACTGGTAGGGGTGATGGTGGGGGATAAGTAGGCCATGAAGTTAAGGATTGTTTTCGGTTTGTGAATGTTATTTTGTGAACGAGTCACAACATGATTCGCAGGAGGGAGAGAAGGTTGTTGTGGTTCTGTGACTGGAAGTGGTTCTAGAGAAGGTTATGAGGGTTGCAGAGTTGAGGCAGTGGTACGAGCAACAGTGGTTTGGCTAGCATATGTCATTTTGGTCGTTCTGCGACTGCGTACAATTGGAAAAGATGGTGACTGAGGCTGTGGGACTGAGGTGAATGGTTGTTGAGAATATATAGGTGTTGAGGAGAGGTGATAACGTACGTAGTGATTGTGGAGGAGACTAGACATTTGAATTTCTTTGGATAACTGTTGGGATGTCAATAGGGGATAAGATTGGGTATCATTAAGATCATGAGGAACAACAGAATTTGCAGGAGGAGAAGTAGAAGACGTACTTGTAGTGGCAGATTCTGTTGGAGCACAGGCAGAGGATACAGTGTCTTTGTGAAGGCTGGTTTCTGTATCTGGGATAAGTGTAGGGTTGGGTAATTCACTTATTATGGGAGGAGGAAAAATAGGAGACTTTGTTGGGTTAGTTTCGGTTAGGTTTTCCCATGCAAGAGTTTTAAAATTTAAGAAAATATTTGAAAAGATATTTTGAAAAGGAAAAAGATATTCCTTAGATATTCATGTCTAAGGAAAAGCTCATGATCAAGAAGCTTCTCATAGAGTTCTTCATACGTAATAGTGGAGGCACGAGCACGAATTGCAGCACAGATCTCATGAAACTCTGGCCTAGACCACTCAGGATCTTAACAATGAGTTCAAAGGTTGTGACAGAGGCACCAGCAGTAGAGAGTTCGTCAGCCATGTATCAAATATTTTCCAAATATTCAGTGACTGGTTGGGAGTCTTTTGTGAGTCGCGTAAGTCGATTGTGAAGACTAAAATATCTGGCTTGGGACTTGTTAGCATATGCAGTGTGCAATGCATCCCAAGCTTTTTTGATGAATCAGCAGCTGCAACAGTAGTGGCAATTGTTGGATCAACAGATGCTATAAGTGCATTTTGAATGAGTTGGTCTTGACTAAACCAAAGAGCAAATGCAGGATTGGCACTAAGGAATGTGCCAGTTGTGATAGTGCGAGATGGAGCATGAGAAGACCCATCTAGATGACCATAAAGATCATGACCATGCATAAGCATAGAAAATTGTGCCTTCCAAGTTGCAAAGTTGTGGTTGCCTTGTAATTTTATTGGTAATTATGATGCAGGATTAAATTGGACGACCATCACACAACTGTTGTTATCAGCATTAACAACTCCAGTAGTGTTGGCCATTTGTGGAGGGTGGGTGGAAGAGAAAAAAGATAGGATCTTACTCGTTAGAGTTTGTTGAGGCTCTTGATACCATATAAGAACAAGAGAAACACAAAAAAGCTACGTAATATATTTATTGAATCAAAGCAATCTTTAAATACGAGAGTGAAAAACTAATTCCCTAAATTAACTCCTTTAAAAGAGGAGGACTAAACTACTTGCTAAACAAACTCCTTGAATAACAAACTTCTAACTACGAGCTAAATAATTGATCAAAGCAGTAAAGTAGTTGGTGATTAACTTATGCTCTAATACTTAGAACACAATCAAGATACGATGAATATATGAAAAGTACAATTAGAAACATGATGCCTAACAAAAGGGCTAATTACTACCTCCTAACAAATCCGTTGGACGAGTTTTCATCAAGTAAACTCATCCAACGGGTTTCCTTATTCGACCACAATCATAATACAACTAATGAAGATACAAGCAAAAACAAGAATGAAATGTTGACAGGGGGGAACAAGCGCATGCGCATGCACAGTCAGTCTATTTATAAGTCTGAATTCTGTGAGGAGGGTCTGAATTACAGTCATAGTGACAGTGAAGAGAACAGCAAGAAACAGAAGAAAACTCCAGGGACCATGAAAGTACCTATGCTTAAGTTCAGCGAGGAGAACTCGTACAGGGAGCACTTTACTTTTGGAGTAAGTAAAAATATATCGTTTGACATGCCCGTAAGCTCGATGATTAGGTACTCCACGTGCTGTTATATATCTCAAGAGGTTAACAACTTCTTGGACATTACTAACGGATTTGAGCTGGAGTGTGCCCCTGGCTCGCAGCTCCTTAACATCTTCCTCTCCTTGAATCAACATATTCATGAGATTCAAGTAAGACCAAACCCCTATGGTTTTATCTTGTGCGTTGCTTGAAAATTCAAAAGCGACTAGGTTTAATAACAGGGTCTTGGTCCATTCGTGGATGGTTAGTCGAGGAAGGAACAACGTTCCTGATAACACAAATGATTTAAGCTGGACGAGTGATAAGCTAATATATTGTTGGTTGTTTGAACTGCAACGAATACCCATTTTCTTCAGCTCTGTGACTGATAAAGGTTCACAAATAGCAAGATCTTCTTCTTCTTTAAAAAAAGGAAATTTGATCCATATTTCTCTAAAAATTTGAAGAAGATGATGAGCTGGATGGAGGTGCATCTGCGATCTAAAGTGCGATCTAAAGATATCGTAATCTGTGGTATTCCATGTGGGATTAGGAGATATTGTTAACAATTGGTTAAAGAGGAAACGCCCGGTATCGTTTAGGAAAAAAGTCTCTTCAATTTCAAATGCGCGTAATAAAGCATGTAGAAGCTGGAAAGGCAATTGATTTTCGAACAATAAAAGGTCACGACACACCAAATCTCTATCATGTTTCTTCATATTCAGCATGTCCAAGCTGCAACCACGGATGAATAGAATAATAAAGCAGCCGTCAAGGAACAACATGAGACACCAGTCACGGTCGTCAGCATAACATTCGGTATGACTAGGAGAGTAACAATTCCGAGCGTTGAGCAAGTCCTGTTCAACACCTGCATGCGCGTGCTGAATGGATACTCTTCCTGCTAATTCCCTCGGTGCTTTCCGTTTTAACAACTTCATGGCTTGAGGAAGAGGTTTTCGATGGTGTATTGGACCAATGGAAACCACATGGGGCTCATAGTACTTGCCATAATCTTCTGCACTAGTATTCTCAATAAGCGTAGAGGGAATTGCTCTTATTGTATACTCCTCCTCAATCGGAGGGTCATGTATAGCAGTGGCAGAATGTAACCATTCAAGCACTTCGTTTGCTCTACATCGTCTGTTGTGGTCAGCCACAAAATTTTCCATTTTCGAAAGCCAATAGAGTATGTATGTATATATTCAAGGGACGATAACATCAGTTGGAGCATTCGTGCATATATATATGTAGGGAAATTTCATAATTGCAACTTTTATAAGATTATATTCCATCGTATACAACTATTATTGGATCCACGTTTTATACAATATAAGTGCTTTCATATTAAATAAGTAAATAGTGTCAGTTTTATTAAGTCACCCAAGAAATATGGTAGAATCCCTATAATTAAGGAAATCAACTATCACATCAATGCCTATTTAAATTATCTCGTTATATTACTGATATTTATAAAGAAATGAATATCCATTCATTTATCATTACAAGTTTTGAAAAAACGCATGTGTTATTGCTTAAAGTAAATAAAACTTTTATCGCTTAATTAGAAGAGTTTGTTACTTAAATGTATTATTCATACGATAAAATTAATCCATTAAAAACATCATCGTAATGTTATAAATATTCCCATAAAACTTCAAGCTACTCCATTGCATTATATTGTATATGAAATATATTTATATATTATATTACTGTAAGGAAAATATACATTAAAATATATGCATATTAAGTAGTTGTAAGAATACACTAATTGAATTACTAATATATTAATATATATTATATATAATGTATATTTATATAATATATTAATAACACTTGGGAACGAATATCCATTCATGTGTATATTTGTACAGTACAGTCAGACCTTTCTATAACAACATACAATATCTCTATATAATAATCATTCACTATAAAAGCTAGATTATTTGGGAACCAATTTAATATGTTATGTTATAATATATATCCTCTATAACAACACTTCAGTATAGCAGCCAAAAAATATCGGAATAAACGAGTCTGTTACAGAGAAGTTTGATTGTACATTAATAACACTTGGGAATAAATATCCATTCATGTGCATTACAGATTTTGAAGGGAAAAGAAATTTAAAATAAATTGATATGGATGTATTAGGTGAGAGAGAAAATCTTCATAGAAATATATTAGGGATATAAAATTATTTATAATTAATTAAAATGTAAAAGTTTAAAATAAATTTATTATATGTAATTTTGTAAAAGTAGTTGTATTTCTTTTAAATAAGTTTCAAAAAGGTTGTATTATGTGTAACTCCTCATATATATACTAGTCCTGTAAAGCCCGGACCCAAGATCAAGGCAATATGTCCATAATAATAATAATTTGTGTTACCTTTTTAAGCACAACTTTTTAAAGATCATAGCTTCTTAACCATTTATTATTCTTTAATTATGGTTTCTGATCGTATCATTAGATTATTTTATTAAAAGAAATATTTATAGGAAAGCAAGTGTGCTAAGGATAAGCAGATATCAAAGGAAAATATTTAATCACCTAACCCTTTTAAAGATCCGACCCCCTCAAATGAAAAAAACCAACAATCAGTGCACCACCTTTTCCACCATTGCAACCCCTTCTTCTTTGTAAAAAAAACAACCCTACCATAGTTTCCACGAAAATACTAGTTGTAACACCCAAATAAATACACACAAATTACATATTCGATAAAACTCCATCTTCGACCATCTCTTCTTTATTATCTATTCTTTTTCACAAAACTCAATAATGATGAGCCAGAAGAAAATAACGAAAAGGAAAAATTTCAGATCTTTGTTTGGCACAATTGAAAGAACCACAAAGACCACTTTGTCAACGAAATTCCAAAACAAGAAATTGAAAACTTAACTTCTTCTGCAATTCTGCCCTTCTCACTGACGTAACTATCAACAAGAAATTTTCGGAGAAATTTTGAATCTTGAGCAACCAAAAGAAAATGGAATGGGAGAATGTTGAATCGGGGAAGAAGACGAAATAGGGGGAGGGGAGACGAAACCTGGGGGTGGGGAGGGGAGACGAAACCTGGGGGTGGGGAGGGGAGACGAAGGGGAGAATATAATACAGATGGAGAGGTTTGGACCTAGGAAGAAGACGCGGAGTGGGGGGCTGGGGCGGGGAAGAAGACAAGAGTGGGAGGGGTTATTTTTTAAAATTTTTTTTGTTAATTGGTGTAAAAAAATATTAAAAATTAGCCACGTGGATTCTTTATAGAACTTTTGACATGAAATTTTTAGCATTTACATGCATGTTTTATGTGAAGAACACGCAAGCGCTACGTAGTTAAAGTGGTGTGTTGTTGACACACTTTTAAAAGGTTTGAGTGTGTAATAAACAGGTATGTAAGAGGGATTTGGGTACAAGGTCGATGATTAAACTATGTATTTTGCCTAAATAAATCAACACCATTAAAATTCTTATAGTACATGTGGCACCATCTAAAGCCCTATTAAGAAAAACTGGACAAAACTTTACTGGGAACCTAGAGAGTATTTTGAACTAGAGAATATTCTTCTCTGGCATTAGAGGTGTACAAAGGAAACCGACAAACCGCACCAACCCGATAATCCGAGTCAAACCGAGAAAAAAAACCCGACTATGATTGGTTTGGTGTTGGAAAAAAAAACCCGACCATAATTGGTTTGGTTTGGTTTTAACTAAAGAAATCAAACGGAAACCAAACCAACCCGACATTACATATATAGAAATTTTAGATATAGTTAATATCTAAATATACTTATTGTGATGTAATTTATAAATATTTCTTAAAAAAATTCATAATTTTATCTTTTAAGGTATTATTTCAAGGTTGAACTTAGAACTTTTGAATGCTCCAATAAGTTTTATAGCCATTAATATTAGTAAATTAAATAATGCTAACAAAAGCCCAAACCAAGATTAAATCAATACTAATGCTAACAAAAGACATTCAATTCAATATTACGAACGGGAATGTATTGAATATCTATTTTTTATTTTTTAATAATTTAGATAAAAATGCATAACCTATTTTTATTTTTCTTTAGCGTTTAGTCATGTAATTAATACTCCCTTATTAGTCTATTTATTTTAGCATGACTTAGTACTTTTAGATTATGTTTATTTTTATTATGGCTTTTTAATTAGCAATATTTATATTACATAATTTTATTGTCTTTATTGTTAAATATTTTAGGATAATGCCATGACACATCTCATATTTTGTATTATTTTCTTGAAAAATATTTTATATAGTTGTATCTTACTAGGGTTAAAGAAATATTTTGAGCATACGTTATATGTTTTGTTCTACAAAGATTTTACCGGAAAAAAATTCGAAAAAATCCGAGATTGAAAAACTCGAGTTTTATTGGTTTGGTTTGGTCTTTAGATTTAATAACCCGAAACAATTGGTTTGGTTTGGTAATTGTAAAATCCAAACCAACCCGACCTATGTACACCCCTATCTGGCATAATGAAGTCAAAGGATTTGTTTTGAATTTACCTTGTTTTTCTCCTCCTTCCTTTTCCTTCTTAATTTGCTTAGTTTTCTTTTTGGAAATAAAATTTTCACAATTTTGGTACTCGATTCAGTATGGTACCTTGTTACGTTAGAGAGTGGAACACCTCATTAATTAAAAAGAGAGAGAGAGAGAGGAGTGGAACACTTCCCCTCGTCACCCTCTCGCCGAAATACGTAAAATGAAAACCTGAAGAGGGTCTCAGAAGTACAAAAATTACGAAGCCTAACCCCAAAGCACTGTAATCTTCTCTTCTTTGACTGGTAATTTCCCCCCTCTATTCGTATTCGCACTTCTCTATTTTGTTCTAAAGGCGCCAGTGTTCTTTAGCAATTGCTTCATTTTTTTTTCCCATTTTTTTTTTCAATTTTGAATGCTCTCTTAGATTCTTTCTGAACTATGAATTTGGTTTATTGGCTGAAAATAAAAATCCAACCTTTTTATTCTTTGCTGAAGTGGGTATGTGAATTTGGCTCAGTTTCCTCTGCTTATAGGTGTTCGACGAATTGCCTCCACGAATTTGGTGTTAATATAATATTGTATCTCTACCCAATTTCAAATTAAAACATTTTTCTAGATTAAAGAATCTCGGATCAGATATTACATTGAACTTTTTGTTATACTTTAATATGATTCTTGGGCCCTAGAGATGTGATGTCTTTGATAATACCATTTTTATAGTATTAGTCTTTGCAAATACAAAAGTGCCTCAATCCTGTGGACCCTATTCATAACAGTACTATTTTAAATTAGTCTCTAGCTGAACAAAATTTGGATAGTTTCGCTTCATTGTTCTCATAAGGCAGTTGTATGCGTTGTAGTTCAGATTTTTCACTTGGTTTCTGAGAGTGTAAAGCACTAAGAACTGATTTGTGATTTTCTTATTTCATCTGCAGCTGAAAGAGTTTGAACAAACTTCGGTTCTAATATTATGGCGAGATCCTTATCTCAACTGCTGTTGAAGCGTTTTGTAGCCTATCCACTTACTCGTTCATCTGCTATTGTGAGAATAGATACTAATATCTTCCTGTTTGTGCTTGCTGTTAACAATGTGTCAACTAATGCCTTTTTTCTACTGGTTTGTCTGATATGCAAAATAAACATTTGAGTTTAATATGAAGAGTTCCTCACCTTTTCTCTTTCGTCTGAACTTTGTGCACCCCATTCCTTTGTACTCCATAGACATTATAGTTTATCTCTTGCTAGCTAAATATAATCTAGGATGCATGTTGCATCTGTAAAGTTTCTATTATAAACTATGAGCTTTTGCTAGAATCCTTTATCATAAAAAATAAAAAAAACATTTGCTTGAATCCCATCTGCTATATGTCGCCATCTGGCATCTACTCATGAAATTTGGGGCATATGCTCAAGTTTGATACTAAAGAGTTTAGCCCGTATACGGGGTAAGACAAAAGTGGATTTTTTTCAGGCTTTTTCTTATATATCTGTTTTATAAGTGTTATTCTTAACAGCTGTTCCATTTATGTAATAGACATTCAGATCCATCAATCAGGATGAAGTGTGGTATTCAACTTCTGTGCCTAGTGATCCTGACACTCATGAAGATTTTAGACCCACTAGTAAGCTTGAGAGTTCAGGTCTTTCCCTAGAGAACATTGTTGAGCAGGTATTTTTG